AAAAAAAAAAAAAAAAGAAAGAAAAGAAAAAAGAAAGTATATAGTACATGGAGCTGGATTGATAGAAATTTTTTTTCCTCTGTTTAATAATGACCAATATTGATGGTAAAGATTAGTTTTTTGCTCATGAAGGGCAAGTTTGTAATAAGACTTGAAGCAGTTCTTCTGCATATCCCGCCTCTAAAATACATTCTTTTTCCTTTCCATAATGTGATTCAGATTCAGACCTTTACTTCACCCTTGATATAGTTACCTGACATGAAAAGGTGTCCCGCTCCATTCTTCCTGTCTCACAGCCGAGGGTGCATATGCGTGTGCCCAAGGGTGCACAGAGCTGGTATCTAAACCTTTTGCAAATTCTTCTGTTAGAACCTCTAAGAGTCACATGATGTCTGATGATTTATTTGTTTAACCTTCACTATAAGGAAGAAAAATGATGTGCTTCACACTGTATATTAAATTTTGAGAGGTGCAGTTTACAAATATTCTGAATCTTCGGTACCTTTCCATTGCTAAGTAGGTATATGATCAGGGTGTTCAAATTAGGTTACAATATTTAAGCAGAGCACTATCGTTCCAGCTCCTTGGATGTTTAATAAAATAAAACAAAACCTGACACCCACTTGTTCATGTGATTTGACTTAAGAACACTGATATTTACTAGTAGATTTGGGACCAGAAATTGGTTTACCTGATTCATTATACCAAACTGCCTTGGGATTTTAATGGACTGTTAAACAATAAATAAATGCAGTGCAGTTCTTGCATTATCAGAATCCAGTTATTTAGTAAAGAAACTAAAAATCTCTCAGTGGTATCATGCATAGCGCAGTTGTGGGTTACCGTGGAGCACAATATGAATTAGATTTCTTGTAAGCGTACTCAAGGCCTGCGGTGGTGTTCAGCAAGGGTTACCATGGTGGAGCTGCCCCTGGAAGCACACAGACTCTTGTTGGAGCCCCAGCTCTGCCGTACTCTGGTCCCAGTAAAGTACATTAAAGACAGAGAAACCTGATCATGTATTTGTTGGGAGAATTAAATAAGATCTTGGGTGTTGGGTAAATGTAGCCCATTAGAAATTCATAGTAAATACAAAGTATGTAGGGCTTTATTGGTAACGATTATCATCTGACTCAGTCCTAGAAAATATGTTCTTTTAAATGTCGTAGGTTACCTGTGAACAGTCTTGTAAACAGGATTTCACTTTTTCAGGGAATTTCTTACATTAGTAGAATCTCTTTACTATCCTCTCATTTCTCTTGGAATTTGTTATCAGGTGAAATGCTTTTAGATGAATATAGTGATCTCTTTTCAATTTGAAAAATCTTTCCTTGGCATTAGTTTCACATCTTTTAGTGTAGAATTTCAGTTTCTTAAAATTTATTTATTTGGGGGGGTGGCAATGAAGAATGAACCCAGCATTTTGCAAATTGAGGCAAGTACTCTGCCTCTGAGCCCTCAGTCCTGCAGATAAGTTTTTCCAAGATCAAAAAAGAGTTAAGTACTCTTGAAAAACTTCTTAAAAATAATTTTTCTGACCGCTGTTGTTACTTTTCCACAAATTCTCCTTAAATTCTTCCCCCAAACCCTACAGTTCTAGAGTGAACCCACAGGCACTTGCCCTGTGTGCAGCAGCCCCAGCCCCTTTTAGCTTTTGCTTCACTAAGTTGCCCAGGCTGGCATCAAACTTGCAGTCCTGCTTCAGCCTACTGAGTAGCAGGCATGTGCCACTGTGCCCTGCAAGATCCGTGTTTAATAAATGTTTTCTAGCAGAAATTCTATCAATTAGCACAGAATTATTTATCTGAAAGTTTTTCCAAACTTTTATTAAACTAGAAATCATATTATTGGTTGTTATTAAATGCTTATGTTTTTCCCTCTTCCCTTTGAATAGCATTTAATTCCTAACCTTCATAGGTAACTTTTTTTTTTTTTTTTTTTTTTTTT